TTTATTTCTTTTGCAGTGCTAGAGATCAAACCCAGGTCCTTGTCCCTGCCTGGCAAGCACTCTCCCAATCACTACATTTCCAGCCTTGTTTTTGACTTTAAAAGTTACTTTCAGTTGGGCAGAGAGGTGTATGCCTGTAATCCTGGCTTCTTAGGCTAAAGCAGGAGGATCACAAGTTCAAGGCAACTTAGCAAGATTCTGTCTTAAAAAAGACTGGAAAGGTAGTGGTAGAGCAGTTATCTACCATGCCCAATTCCCACAACCACAAAGGAAAAATAATTATTTTCACACTCAGTTTTATGAGCTTGCAAGAAATCTGTAGTCATCAAAAGGCATTGTGTTTGTTTGTTTTTGTTTTCATTTTATAACAGAAGGAAAGGTTTATTTAGTGTTGTAACTCAAAACTGAGGCAGGCTCGTAAAGAAAAGAAGCGCTTTATTTTAGCTGGTACTCAGCAGTGACCACCCTGCAAGACTCCGAGGTGTGCGCTGGGAGGATGAGGGGAGTGGGTATTTAAGCTGATAAACCACAAAGGAGGGACGTCAAGGGCCTGCAGTTGAAAAATTAACCTGTTTCTAATGAATAATAACAGATACAGTGGTGGGTACACTTGTAGCTGGGAACGAGGGCAAGAACAGGACATTGGGCTGGAACTAGATTCGAGTGTGCATGGAGGACAGCGTGAGAAAGGCCCAACTGCAGGTTCTCAAGTAGAGAGCGGGGCACAGTGGAAAGTTACAGGGTTTAGAAGGGCGCATACAGAGCAGGATGGTGGCGCATATGTCGGGTTATAACATTTAGCTTACAGTTAGTGCAGGTTTCAGTCCCTTCTCAGCTGGCTCCAAGGCAGAGTGGCACATGGCAGATGGCAGCAGTTCATGGCAGCAGAGCAGCAAAAAAGGAAGAGCGAATGGGAGGAGTAGTGGCAGCAAAGCATTGAAGTTTGTAAGGCCTGACAATGAAGCTAGTTGAGTTTGATTTGGAGGTCGTGTGGCTCTGTGGTTAAGGGTGTGGCCTGTTACACAGACATGCCTTCAAATTCAGCTGATTTCTGGCCTGTATTTGGTTCTGTTACTGATCCCAGTCATTCCTCCCTGCCTGCCTGCCTTTCTTTTTATTTTAATTGTCTTTTTGAGACAGGCCTTCACTATGCAATTCAGGCTGGCCTTAAACTCCCTTTGTAACCCAGGGTGGCCTTGAATTTGGTACAGTCCCCCTGTCTCAAACCTCCCGGGTGCTAGGATTACAGGTGTGTGCTGCCATATCCGTCCAAGCCAAATTTCTTAGTCTTTAAAATGGAGAATGTGTCTACATGGGGAGATGGTACTTTGGAGGATTATCAGATAGTGTATGGAAAGTAGTACAGTCACCAGCTTTTTGTAGGTATTTAAAAATGCCACCACCAGGTTGGGAAGGCAATTTGTAGAGGAAAAAATATACTACAAGTTAGACTTGTTCTTTCTAACTTTATTGAGAAGTATTCTGATAAAGAATTTAATCAATTGGGGTCCTGGGAGATGGTTCAGTGGAATAAGTGCGCCCCTGGCAAGCTCAAGGGCCTGAGTTCAATCCCCGGTTCTGGGGGAAAAAAAAATTATTTATATAAATGATCATACCTGAGATTATGTGGATATACTGTGAAGTTTATTTCTAATGTTTCTTAGGCAGTTCTTAATCTGTGTCATACATTCTAGTACATTTAGATGTTCTTAATTTTCCCAGTTCTTCAGGCATTCTTTGATTATTGTGATTTAAAATATACCCATTCTGTTAAAATAAGCTTTAGTTTTTTGTATTAATGATTGAGCCACTTGGAAAAATTATATTCTTTGCAATCTTCCTAAACCGGGAGAAGGGTTAACAGCACAAATAGTAGAAAAGACATTTCCTGCCGTGATCCCATTATGTGCGTAATTATTTCAGCTGATGATCAAAACAGTGCAAGCACCAATCCCTTCAAGCCTTGGCAGGCTGGAAAGAATAAGTACTTGTGACTCATCAGAGCGCACATCTCCAAAGGGTTTTCCTGAGCACGTCCTGTGTAAAGTTGTATACATGAATGAAATCATTGTACTTTCTAATAAGAGTATGGTTTTCAGTTGTTTGGGTACCGTGAGATTGCTCTTAGGACATCAGGGTTCCAGTTCTTTTTGGCTAGCTGGACAGCTCATCAACCTTTCCATTTGCAGTATTTGCTGGCCGTTGGCTCATGTCATTCTGGACGGGCACTGCCAAGATCCACGAGCTCTACACAGCTGCTTGTGGTCTCTATGTGTGCTGGCTCACCATCCGGGCTGTGACGGTGCTGGTGGCCTGGATGCCTCAGGGGCGCAGAGTGATCTTCCAGAAAGTGAGAGAGTGGGCTCTCATGGTAGGTGCTGACCTGATTGGAGTAGTGAATGTTCTTCCAATCATTCCCTCCTTTAACTTCGTTTTCACTTCTGTTTTGTTACCCTGTTATGCCAGTAGTTTCCAAAGAGTGTTGAGGTCACTTTTTATGCCTTTCCATTTGTATAATCACCTCTAACTTTTATGTCTGAATTTATATTTTGAGTTCAATTGAAGTTTATCCAGTGAATACTAAAATAGAATGAAAAGTATAAAATCGGCCCCTTTTTTTGTATTTCGTACAGGGTCTGTAGGGTCTCACTACACAGATCAGACTCATAGTGATCCTCCTGTTTTAAGCCTCCCAAGTGCTGGGATTACAGGCTTGTACCACCACGCCCAGTCTCAGTTAGCATCTCAGTGCGCCCCAGGGGCAGGCCTAACGGAGCAGGCCTGGGCCCAAACCCTAGCCCCTATGTCTGCCTAAGCGGTACTTTAATCAGCTGAGCTTTCTAGCCAGCCTTTAAAATCTGCCTTTTAATATGTATAAGTTTTATGTTTTGGTTTTATTATACAGATCAAAGGGATAACATATGATCGTTTGATACATGTCTATAGTGTAATGGATGGTGCACTGGATGGTGAATTAATTACGGACTCTCGAGTCCACCCCATAACTGCGAGAGGCTTTGTGGGGACACCTAGACACAAACGTAACATTGCTTAATCTGAATTCTAGAGCTACAGTGTCTCATGTACTAGCCTCTGTTGTTAAATGGCCAGAATACTGAGTAAGCAGATACAGATTTCTGTCATTGTAGTAAGTTCTGTTGGACCAGTTTGTTTTAAAGGCAGCTGATTTGGTCTGGCTGATGGATTACCTTGAGGCTGTGCTGAGCCCTTTCCTTTCCCATGTACAGGTACAGGTCAGCCCTGGTGTCGGCCTCCCTATTACAAATAGGCACCGAATTCTGAGAGTGGAATCATGAGGAAAATACTGCTGCCTGGTTAGGATAGTAAAATGCACTCTCTGTAGTCTATTTTGAAGTAACAGTTCCTAGAAATTTCAGATTCTCAGTATAAAGCTCTACTAGTTATGTAGTCAAGAAATTTTATTTAAGCATGTAATACGAAAAGGTGTAATGTAGTAAAATCAGCGCTGCTAGGCGTCAGGTCCAAGGAAAAGGTAAGCGCAGAAAGAGTGAGGGTGCGCTGGGGTCAGGACAGCGTCTGTGGTGAGTGTTCTCCATGTCCCCACAGGTCGTGAAGACCGTGGTCGTGGCGGTGCTGCTGGCTGGGGCTGTCCCGCTTCTTCTGGGGCTCTTGTTCGAGTTGGTCATTGTCGCCCCCCTGCGAGTTCCTTTGGATCAGACGCCTCTTTTCTATCCATGGCAGGTAAATGCCTCTCGCTCGTACTCCTTTGTTAAGTATTTAGGCTCAAAACAAGTCCTTACTATTTGAAAGAATTTTAGTAGTTGATTTAGAAAGACTCCTTAATTTTGTTCTGTTTCGGAAAGACTTGTAAACTTGTTTAAGCAATACCCTTCTTAGGTAACTAAGCACATCTTAGGGCTTCCAGTAAGTTTTGTATTACAGGGTAGTCAGATAGCATTAGGAACTTTAGAAACTTTTAAAAAATAAAAACACTAGTTAACATAGAGGGATTAACAGAATTAGATATTTATTTATTTTATAGTAGTGGGATTGAACCCAGAGCCTTGTATATACTATGCAAGTGCTTTACTGCTAAGGTACAGTCAGCCTTTCTTTTTTTATTTTTATTTTTCAATTTGAGACAGGGTCTCACTAAATTGCCTGGCCTGGCTTTTTTTTTAAAATTTTTTTTATTAACAGAATTAGAAAACCATTACTTTGTAACACTTCAAAAATAATTATAGCAAAGATTGTCCATGGATTTGAACCTATAAGGTGAAAGGTTGACGGGTTTTCAGTTACTCTTGCTATTTAACAAGTTACCCACTTCATGGCTTAAAATAGCGATCTTGTCCCCAAAGTCTGTGGGTCATAAATTAAGAGGGTTTGTTAGTTTGTCTCTGGTCTATATCTGGAGCCTTCCCTGGGAAGTTCTGTGCCTGGCAGTGATTTACCAGCTGTGTCTGGAGTCATCGGAGTTGGCCTCCTTTCATGAGAGGTGATGCCCATGGCATGGTACCCACCGAAGGCCTCTTTCTTCACAGCTTCTGGAACCTCTAGTGGTCGGGCAGTTTGAGGAGATGAGCGTCCCTACAAAAGCTAGACCAGGCATCGCCATTCTCACCTCACCTCAGGAGCACGCAGCATCACATTGTCCTCTGTCTTGCTGGATAAAAGCAAGTAACAGAATGGCCCAGGTTCCAGGGAAAGGAATCTGTAGTCCCTGCTGCCTAACTGGAGAAGAATTTCATGTATTTTGACACTAGTACAAAAGAGAAGTGGTTATTTGCCTAGTGGCACAATGCTACTTTACCAAGTAATATCGCTTTCATAGGGAATCATGACATCATAGTCATCAACCATAATACCCTAGATGAGGTGAAAATTTGGTGCACCTCCTTAGGTTAGGCATGCCGAGTAGTACTGCCAGAGGGCAGAAGTGTGCCGAGGAGCTGTCCTCCTCCCAGCAGCCAGGTCAGGGAGTCCTGCCGGGTACAAGTGTTTCACAGACCCACAGTGTCATAGAAGGCTGCTTTATATTAGAGGAAGATAAAACAGGACAAGAACAATACCAACCTCTGTAATCATGTCTGGACAGGCAGAACGTGAGCTTTAACTAAACTCCCTTTCCCTAACATGATTAGCTGCTGCTTCATTATCATGAGGGTTATTTTCTGTTTGTTTTATCACATAATCAGCTATGGGTTATTCTGCTAATAGAGCCTGGCTTAAAACAAAGTCCTCCTTCCTTATGTTCTGTCTCCCTCTCCCGTCCCCTGGCCTCTCCCCTCCTCCCGTGCCTTCTCTTCCCTCCCTCCTCCCTTCTCCCCCTCCTCTTTTTCCGTCCCCTCCCCCACCCTCTCCCAACAGGGTCTCTCTGTATAGTTCAAACTGGCCTTGAGTTCACTTTGTAGTCTCGGCTTGTCTCCTTTGAAGGTCTGAAGAAGCAAAAAACTGATAGTCTCAGTAAGACCCTGAGCCCCTTTCAGGTTACAGAAGAAAAGGACAAATGCTTTGGCAAAGAACAGCTGAGTAGCCACAGAAAAATAGATTAGGCAGAGCAAGCAAAACATATGCCTTGATGGTAGTAGAGCAACGTGAAGAGCTTCGAGCTGCTAGAAGAATGCACTTGGGCAGCTGTGTCCAGTAAGTGTGCATGCTCTCACACACAGCGGAACGCATTGTGGAGTAGCGTAGCGTGGACTCCAAGAAGCAGTGGGTGAATAAAGGCAAGAACACCTGCCACTGAGGCTCAGGTTGGAGGCCTGGAGGCCGGTGCAGAACACAGCAAAACTGAAGGAGAAAAAATTGAGGGGAAGCGAAGTATCTTAGAGAAGTATCTTGCTTGTTGGGGTAAAGATACATCTAGGAATCCCAATCTACCAATAACAGGTGTTGGAAGAGAAAAGTAAGAAGGCGTATTGAGACAAAACCAGGGGAAATCTTAGCTGGATTAAAGATAGATCTTGGGGCCCGGGAGATGGCTCAGTAGAATAAGTGCTTGCCTAGCAAGCGCAAGGGTCTGAGTTCAATCCCCGGTTCCGCAAAAAAAAAAAAGAAAAAGAAAAAAATAGATCTTACTGTGTAGGTTGAAAAAGTTTGCCAGATTTGATGAGAGAGAAACTGAAAAGAAAGCGACCTGTGGGTTAGCTCAGTTGTTTAAGCACCTGCTCAGGCAAACCCAATCAGGCGCAGGGGACCCTGGTTCGATCACCAGCTCCACATGCCTTACCAGACCCGCCCTTAAGGCAGCCTGAGCCAGCCAAAAAAAACAAAACAAAACAAAACAAAACAAAAGAAGATATAACCTTGAAGTCATCAGCACACACAGAGCACTTTATAAGCTGATCAATTCTTTAGAAATACTGTATGTACTAAAGTTGACACATGCAACATAGATCAGCTTATAAAGTGCTCTGTGTATGCTGATGACTTCAAGGTTATAAGCAGGAAAGTCTCTAACTGGGTCTGACTTATATTTAGAGTTGAGCTGGTGGAGGTGGACTGCAGATGTCACTGGGAGCTGGTGTAGAGAGGCTGGCCAGCCAGGGGCAAGGCCACCAGGAAGAGCTGGAGATGTGGGGGACTGGGAGTGGACAGCACTGGGGCTGTGGGAACTGCTTGGCAGGAGAACGGCACAAGTGCTTCCATTCTGGGCTCCCTGCGAGACAGCTGTCTCAGGCAACTCCTTGATCCACAGTCGTCTTCTCACAGAAAGCAGCTCAGTCAGAACCAATAAAGCGGCCCAAGAACAGTTTGATGAGTTAAAATCAGGGTGTTTATTTTGCTTATTGAGATTTTCATCAATGATGTAGACTTCTAAAAGATAAAGGAATGATTTTTGATAAGAATATAAAACTTTTTGGAAAAAGAAATTCCCAAACTTTCCAGTATATATCAGTCTTCTCTAAAGCCATCCCAAAGAATTTCTGTTTCGATGAGAAATAATGAAAATTTTATAGCCCCTCTGCTAGGTTTATTGTTTAAAAAACACAAAATTATTTTTTTTATTACCCTAGGACTGGGCACTTGGAGTCCTGCATGCCAAAATTATTGCAGCTATTACATTGATGGGTCCTCAGTGGTGGCTGAAAACTGTAATCGAACAGGTAAGCAAGTAAGCTTTCAGAGAAAGTTATATCAGAATCGGGCAGTGATAGTGTTTCACTGCTGTCGTAAAAACCTTAGTTTTCTCTGTATTCTGTTACGCCCGCGTACAGGTTGAACCCACGATCTCACATGTGCTCAGCAAGTGCTCTACCACTGAGCTGCTTCCCCAGCCCTTTAAAGGGTTTGTTTTTTTCCCAATTTGGAGATAGTATCTTGATGAATTGCCCGTGCTGGCTTTGAACTCAGTACTCCTGTCTCAGCCTCCCGTCTAGCTGGGACTGCAGAAGTGTGCTGCCTCCTAATAATGGATGCTTTTACTGTACAGCTTTGCTTTACCCCTGTAGGGGAGAGAAGAACATTTATGCCATGGGAATGAATAACTCTTGCAGAGGTGGTTTTGAATTGCACTTTTATGTAATGGTTTCAACAAAGAATGGGAAATCTTTAGAGATGTAACAAGCCAGTGGAAATAGATTTTGAGACTGTAGGAGCAGCATCTTGGGGAAAGGCAAATGAACAGCAGCAGACGCTAGCTAGGAAAGGCTATTAATGCAGCTTTTTGTGGCTGTCTCCGGGCCAATAAGGAGGACGTGCCCTTTAGTAATTAGCTCTTTGTCCTCCCTTGCAAGGGGAAGATAGTAGGCTGCCCTCTCCCTCTGAACCTTTGTCCTGCCATTAGGCAGGTGGAGGATGAACAGGGGCTTTCCTGCTTTCCAGTTGTCTTTAGCTCAAAGTCCTTATGCCAAGAAGACATCCAGGGGTGGAGTCTTCTGCACTCTAATCACCGGAGTTATTATCCACTCTAGGCCCAGTGGTGCCCACTTGTAATCCCATCGCTTCTTTGAAATTGTAGTATTGCAAGGTCAGGGCTGACTTGGGCTAGATCATGGCCAGCCTGGTTTACATGGTAGACCCTGTCTCATCCATTTTTAAGTCTCATCTGGAGGTTGACCAGTAGCTTAAAGTACCTAGAACCTTGTTCAAGTAGATGTAAAAACGGTGCTGCTTCTAGGGCAAGAGCTCAGATACAGTAGTGTGCACCCATGTTTCAGAGTCGGTAATACAAGGTATGCAGTACGCAGAAAAAAGACAAGGAACGAAGAATAAAAATGTCAGAGTTGTTTTAGGGAAAGTCTAGCTGTGTAGCAACTGACTGTTATGGTATTCGGAGACTATCAGATAATTTGGTCATTGTGGTGAAAAAAGTAGGTTGTACTTCTGTCCTTAGAGTAAAACTAGGTGGCGTCATGGTTCATTTTCGAATGTCTGTTTCAAGTAGCCAGCGTGAGAGTGTTGGTTGTCTAAAGAATGTATTCCGCTGCAGCTCCTAGCCTCTCTGCTCCGTGTCAGACAAGCAGAGCCCTGTGGGTCTGTGGTGCTAGGGGCTGCACTGCCTGTTGTGGGACAGGGAAGTTCTCTTAGTGCACGCAAGTGGTCAGCCCTGCGCCTGCGCCTGGAGCCCATGGCTCCGTGGCACCGTGGCTGCAGAGCCAGGAGTTCTGGAGGTGATGGGTGGCTTGGGTCCCGGCACATCGCAGCTGTGGGTGATTCTGGTGCTGAGGAGCTGGCGGGAAGGGAGAGAGCAGGACCCGCGTCCTCCCTCCCACGGGCCCTCTGCTCTAGCAGTCGTCCTGCTTGTAGGGTTCACCCACTGTGCTCCAGTACATTTGTATGTTTAGTAAATTTTCTGGATGACAGAAATATTTTAGCAATTACTTGGATTTTTTCAATATTCACTTTAGAATTCTTTCTTGGTAATTTTTAATTTTAATGCTTCCATGTAATTTTACTACATAAAATAACTTTTATCAACTCTTCATACACATGCTTCCTGTTTTCATGTCACATTCATGTAAAATAAGTGTAATTTTAAGCTGTAACACCATTCTTACAGAAGTGCTAACAATTCAAATTATGCAGTATTCAACTACTGAATGTTATCTGGCAGAGAGTGCAGGGAGGGTATACATTACAACTCTGGGTGAGTGCTGTCTCCTTTTGTCATGTGGGGTTAACTGGGAAGTGTTAATAAGAAATGCATTTCCTTTTAAATTTTTAGATCCAAGGCCTAAATGTGTAATCCAGAGTTTGCCTTAGGAAAAATAACGAGTTTTAGCCCTTTTGGGCCGACAGATTCCATTCCCTGTGGCCTGGCTTCAGCACAGAGCCCTCTGTCACCTGGAGGGTGTTTGTCTAGTGTCTCTTTTCTAATTGTTTTTTAATGTTTAGGTCTATGCAAATGGTATCCGGAACATCGACCTTCACTACATCATACGTAAACTGGCGGCCCCAGTGATCTCCGTGCTCCTGCTGTCCCTGTGTGTACCTTACGTCCTTGCTTCTGGTGTTGTTCCTCTACTAGGTGGGTCACGCTAGCCCGGGAGCCTCACTGCATACATGGTGTTACTGTCCTGTCTGTCACTTTGGCACAAAGGCCGTCGGGACTCCAGAACCTTTATCTGTGAATATGAAACAGCTGAGCATCGTGGCACATGACTGCACTCCCAGCACTGAGTAGTAGGATCATCATGAGTTCAAGGCTAGCCTGAACTGTGTAACATAGCAAGGCCCTGTCTAAAGAAAACCAGAAATAAAGAACGGTGATTTCTGATTTCATAGTTCTTTTTTTAGATTTTACTACTTAGGGTAAGAGTAGAAGAATCTTAATTTTCAGCTGTCTGTCTGTCTCTCTGTCTGTCTCTCTCTCTCTGTCTCTGTCTCTGTGTATGTGTGTGTGTGTGTGTGTGAGAGAGAGAGAGAGAGAGAGAGAGAGAGAGAGAGAGAGAGAGAGCTGATGCTGAGGTATTGACATTTATATTCTTCCCAAAATAAGCAGGACCAGATTTTCTTTGAGTTTTCTCACTAGAAGTTCTGTGATTTTTTTATATTTTAAAAATTAAGTAAGAATGTTGCTATATTTTATAAAGTATTCTTAGTATAAAAGAGAAACTAAAAGGGAGGTGCTAAGTTGTGACACTTAATATCTAGTTATAGTATTCATTGCTACTGAAGATTCCTTACAGGACTTTAAAACCAGTATATTTTCAAAATTACCTAAAAAAATCTTTCTGTTCTTGCTGGGTGTGATGGCATATGCCTGTAATTCCAGCACTTGGGTGAAGCAGAAGGATTGTCAAGAATTTGAAGCCAGCCTTGGCTATATAGAAAGATCCTGTCTCTTTTGGGTATTTACAAAGGGCAGAGATTGAGCCCACTGGCTGAAGGCTGAACATCCCAGTGGGGGAGCCTCATGTGGGTGCTGTCTTCATCCTGGCAGCACTTGGAAGGGATCCCATGACAAGACACGAAGCCAGGGAGAGGTGGGGGCAGGCTCGGCTCCTTCCCCCACTTGGACTTGAGTATGGACACCTTCCCAGTGAGGCTGCTATGACCTCATTCTTTCTGACAAGGCCCCACCTTCAAGCAGTCCACCACCTTTTAGAGCCACATACACCCCCGCAGCCAGACCTGGCAACAGAACACTTAAGGTTTCTTTTTTGGTTTTACAGGTGTAACTGCCGAAATGCAAAACTTAGTCCACCGGCGGATTTATCCATTTTTACTGATGGTTGTGGTATTGATGGGAATCCTGTCCTTCCAGGTCCGCCAGTTTAAGCGCCTTTATGAACATATTAAAAATGACAAGTAAGTGTAGAAGAGCCTCACTGGTTGAGCTGCTTTTATTGAGGTGTGGCCGTCCGTCACAGGTGGGCAGTGGCTCCTACTTGGATTGGTGCTGAGAGAGCTTAGCAGGCTCTGCTGACTGCTGGCTGTGAGATGTCGAGGGGAGTGGGCCCTGGGCTCTTGCGCAGCGAGGAGTGTGGCATTCCCATGCTTGTTGCTGGAGGAGACAGATTTGAGGAGGAGGAGTTATTAGTGTGTATTCTACATGGCTTCTCGGTCTGCACTTGTGTTTCGGATGGACAATGTACTCCATAGCTTCAGGTACAGCTAGCAGCCCCAGCATAAGCCTGGCTCACCCGGGGTGGCCATGTCACTCTGACACAGCACTGAGGCTCTGAGGGCCTGCAGAGGTGTCACGGGTCCTCTGTGCCACCTGGCCTGGGTGGGAAGAGTAGAGCCAAGGCGAACACCTTCCTGGATAACAGCTGAGGAACTTCAGTGTCCTGACAGAATGCTGTGTGCTGGGCACTGGCAATGGCCAGCAGAGAATGAAACTGTCTACTCAGTTCCAGGGCCATTGTGTCATTGTGGGCTGTGCCCCTTCACTCTGATGCCATTTCAGGAGAGTAAATCATGTAGCCACTTTATTTACTGTGGAGGTCCTGTGGACCAAGTCCAGGGCACACTGAGCTAATGCCACAGTCCAAGAAGCCTGTTTTTAAAAGAGAAATTAAGGGGGGCTGGGGAGATGGCTCAGTGGAATAAGCGTTTCCCTAGCAAGCTCAAGGGCCTGAGTTCAATCCCTGGTTCTGCCAAAAATAAATAAATACATAAATAAATGACTGATATAAAATATGCATATTAGAAAAAAAAATAAAAATAAAGAAATTAAGTGCCCAAAGCTTTTCCACGTGTTCTCCTGGTGCACAGGTATGCTGGGAGTAGGGAGAACCGTGGCTCTGAAGAGTGTGGGCCGTTTCCAGTGAGGACAGCGGGCTCATGTTGTGTGGCTTGTCTTCACTGAGGATGAGGAGGAGTGCATGTGGAGCTGCAAACAAGACTGGCTCCCCCGGAGTCCCTCTGCCTCTCTGCTCCACCCAGGCTCCCTTCTCGGCCTCCAGCACAGGTCCAGGCCCAGTGGCCTGTTGCAGTCCTTTCTCCTAAGCCCAGCACACTCTTTTTTTTTTTTTGGCGGAACCAGGGATTGAACTCAGGCCCTTGTGCTTGCCAGGGAAGCACTTATTCCACTGAGCCGTCTCCCCGGCCCCCCAGCACACTCTTCTTGGTAGGACTTGCCTGCTCTTGGGCTGCTTCGCAGCGTAGTGTTGATCCCTAGGTTTTGCTCTGGCCGGGAACAGGAAAAGGTAGGTGATCAGGAGGGTTAGGCTGGGGTTTACACTCTCACTTCTCTGTCACTGGATTACGTTTGGTTTTGGAGAGATTAATATTTTTGTTCTCTGTAAATTTTGTATGCCCTTGGGTTTTTTCCTTCCCACAGTGTGGCGCACATCCTTAGAACGTCTTACAGTGTCTGTTGTTGCTAATGTGCTGGGTTGCACCATGTGTATTGTGTCAGATATCATCACTGTTTGGAAACATTGTGAAATCCTGGGTTATACTGGTTTCTGAGGGAACACTGAGGCGAGGTCGATAACTTCAAGAAAAGAATTAGCGGGCCCAGGAGCTCTGTCACTGCTAGCAAAACGCATGATTCTTACAGCATTGAAGTTGTTCTGCCAAAGCTTCAGTGCCTAAATGATGCCTAAAGAGAATATGGCGCCTCCTCCCCTGCCTTACGGGCAGTGTATGACAGGCCCTCTCCTCTACCCCCAACCCCAATTTGGTCTAAGCAGTCTTCATTTTCCACAGTAGTAAGTTTTCTAGTTATGAAATACTGAAAAGGAAGTTCCCATTCAAAGGCAGTTCATTGGGCTGGTAAGATAGCTTAGCGGAGTAAGTGCCTACTTAGGCAAGTGCAGGGACCAAGTTGCGATCCCCAGCACCATATGCCATGCTGGCCCTGCCCTGGGCGTGTGGAGCTGGCCACCAAGCTTGGACGTGGTGGTGCACACCTGTAATCCCAGCTCTGTGAGTCCGAGCTGCGTAGTGAGACCCTGTACTAAATACATAGATTAAAAACAAAGGCAGTTTATCTTAAGATACTATAAATGATACTAATTTTTTGCCCATGTGAAATATGTAAGTTGCGCTATTAAAATAAAGAAAAAGAATCGGTGAAAAGAGAGTGAACTCACAGTGAAGTCATGGATCTAAAAGCACTTTACGCATAGTGATCCAGGAAGCAGCTGGTCAGAGGCGGCCAGATCGCTCCTGAGGCTGCCGCACCAGCGGAGAAGCTGGGTTTGGGAACTGGCAGCACCTGCGGGGGTGAGCAGCAGAGGTTGCCGTGCAGGACACTTAGGCACGGTCCTGGACTGGCCGTTTCCCTTTCTCACAGCAACCTTGTGCTGTGGCACTGCGCCCCTCAGTCACTGATGAGGAAATCAGCTCCTGGCCACGAGCAGCCTTCCCACCTGTTTCCTGCTGCCACTGTGTCACCTTCGGTGGCTACGTGCTGCCTGCACTGCTCTACAGATCTTGCTGCACCCTTGCCCAGCCTGACGTTCGTGTTTCTAGTCTCTTTGCTCAGATTGTGCCACAGAGCTGGGTTCTAAGCTGTGAACCCTACAGCTCCCTCCCCTGTGGTCATTTGCCGTGCCTCGTCTGTGCTCCAGGGCTCTGAGGTCGTGTGGCTGCCTGACCCACCGACGCAGTACGTGCCACGCTCGCTGCACAGCATCGGGCATCCAGCAGCCACCAGGCGCACTCTGCGTCTTCTGCGAACCCACTCACTTCCAGCGTCTGTTCCTCCTAGGCCCCTCATTCAGCTTCCTAATGACTGAGAGGTTTAGTAGGCGTATGATGATGTGGGTCACATGAAAAGTGACCCTGCTGCAGAACGTTGGGCAAGAGCGTGACCGCCCTGTGTTTCCCACCTAGGTACCTTGTGGGGCAGCGCCTGGTGAACTATGAGCGGAAGTCTGGCAAGCAGGGCACCTCTGCGCCCGCTCCACCGCCGTCCCAAGAGTGAAGTGCTTGCCCCAGCTCCTCGGCCCTGCCCTTGCCTTTACACGCCCTCTTTGTGGACTTCTCGCTTGGAGGGTCCCCGTGATCTCTCAGCGCTGTTTTTAAGTTAACCGTACTTGACTTGTACCCTCAGCATTCAGAGGGCAGCTCGTACAGCTCCGCTGCTCCACCCTGCATCTGCTGACATCACTGCTGTCTGAGTTCTGTATATGTGTACATAGAAGCTCCTTGATCCCCTAAAACCTTGGATTAAACAGAATGTGCATTGTACATCTTTAAACAAACAAATGTATATTAATTTATTAAATCTAGTTGTCACTTTATTTTGGACCTGCTGTGATCTCGACAGGAATCATGCCACAGAGCAGTAGCACAGGCGAGACTTCAGAGCTGCTGGGGAGCGCAGCTCATGGTGTTCCTAGCAGTTCCCACTCAGTAACTGTCTGTTCTGTCTGTCTGGGCTGTTCCACCTCACGGGCGCCAAGAGGAAGCAGAGAGAGCCGTCAGCAGTGAAGGGTCTGGTAAGAAAACATGAACTGTGTGCTTCACTGTTGTTTTTGGAAATTATTTTGTATAACACCAAAGCTGTTGTACATTTTCTACTGCCTGATTTTTTTCATGTGTCTGTGTTTGTAATATTGTATAGTATCTTGTGCTAGGTGAGATTATTTTTATTTTTGATAATTTAATATTCCTAGTGATCAGCATTGGGAGTTGGATTTTTGTGCTTGTTAGGGGCATGTTCATGCTGGGGAGAAAAAAAAAAAAAAAAAAAAAAAAGTGCAAATGAAGATTTTCATTCATGCTTATATCCCCCTTCCACACAACTCTTACTTTTTGGCTGAAAGTGTTGTGCAAGATCATAAATCTTAGGGAGTAACATCACCAGCGACACTGCATCTCCCTGGGGGTCAGATGCAGCCGAGGCGCTTGTCAAGCAGGTGCGGTTGTGGTCTTGGATTGCCAGCATTGCAGGATCCTGCGTAGAATGCCTGCTCCTGCTAGCCAGGTCATTGCTGGGAGAGGATCGGTGAGCGCATTTCTCCTCCATGTTCATCAGTAAGTCTCAATGTTTCCAGAGCTTTCTGTTTACAGAATAAAACTGCAAAGGAAGCTGCCTGAGCTGGCCTTTTCACATAGGAATGTATTTTATTACAAACATGCTATAGAACATCTCAGAGAACTGAACACTTACAAACTTGATTTTCCCTTATAACCAAAACGTTCAGTTCAAAGTTTGGACGAATAGAATGGTTGGTTATATGATCAAGTATTTAATACTAATGGTATATTGTAAGGGTAGTATTTACTTTTGAGTGACAGTTTAGAAATTCTCATAGAAATGGACAGTCATTAGAAACTATACAAATTTCCATACAGTATTAAAACCCATAGATTAAAGTCAGAATGTTTTAAAAATATGAATGTCAGCCAAACATAAGCTACCAAAATCAAGAGCAACATGTTCTGATAGTTTTTATTTCTCCGTAGTTTTTCCCTAATTGGTAAGGAAATACTTTAAAATTATTTTAAAATATCAGTATAAAATGCTTGCCATAGGGTTCAGTGTTGACACTCTCAGGCACTTTGTAGTAGCCCTTTCTCTTTTTTGCTATACCTATATTGAGAAATACAGTCCTACTGTAAAATATTTGTAGCATTTGAAAGCATAATGCCATCTGTCATGGTGTATGGCTACATAAGTTCTTTTTATGAGAAAAGTACAGAATTGGGCTTATAGGTTGATTGTATTAATTTAGGTTTCTATTAAATTTTCAGAAAATTTGTAGACATGATTTAAAGTCTTTAGAAATACGTTATTTTAACAGATCTAGGTGATACCACAAAAGCTTAAAATTTTTCAATCCTATGAAAATTTTAAATGAATTTTATGTGTTATTTAAAAATGTAAAAAATTGTGTATGTGTGCACACACGTGTGCGCATGGCCAAAACTTGCTCTTGTTTTATTTCACTGGCAGATAATTTTATATTGTCTTTCTGAAGACATCGCTCCCCTTCAGATAGATGTGCTTTGTCCTCTGTTTGCAGTGAGATAAATCCTAAGGAAAGGAGCCCTGGTGTATTTGCTTGGGTAGCCATCTGGGTTTCATTATTAATCAGTAGTTACTTTTTAAACCCGCAGTTCGTAAAGTATTAGTTTTGCTGCCCTTCACATAGTTTTGTTTTTTTAATTGTTGTATAGTTTTCCATTATTTTACATTGAGCTAAAAGTCTTCAAGGAAGATGACCTTGTTGCTTTATTTTTACTATTTATGTTGAAGACAAATCACCATTTGAGGTTGGTCTTTATATGGCCAGTTATCACGTGGTCATAGTTTGAGGTGTTCATTTGTTCATTATTAGCAAATTATGTTTGTTTCTGAACTGTGACGTGCTAATAGCTGAGATGAAACTGAAGAAGAACGCCAATGTGAAGTTTGTGTGTAGCTGGCCTGTAAGAAGCTCAATGTTTTTAGCCCACCCCTCTCTCCCTTGTCCTCTGGAGAAGCAAAGAAGATGAGACATCTTTATTCCAGATGTAAGCAAGCAGTTTTTATTTCGACATGTAATACAGCGGTTGTTACTGTGGAAACTTGTCTTGTGTTTTTTTCTTTCCCTCATACAAGTGATAACTTTCCCTCAAAGAATTTGTTATTAACAGATGTGTTATTCTATTAGTATTACACTGTCAAAGTGTAATTTTTAAATTTAAGTTGAATTAATGACTTTTAAAAACAAAAAAACACTGGAAATTTCTATATTGTATTCGCAGTCACACAGAGGAGACCAGTGCCAAAAGAGCACTGATACTTTTTTAAAAGTTAGTCACTTATTTTAATTTTCAGAATTCAAAATATTAAACTCTATGCTTACTGTTTTTACACTGTAAAATTCACTTATGTTTAAAATCCTCCCTCAGAGTGTTTCTTGGTTATATCAAGAGAAGACAAGCTAATGTGTCTCACCACTGAAGTGCTGTGTTAGCCTTGTGGGGGAGACTCTTGAGGGCCAGGCTGTCTTGTGTCTTCCTGCTTCCCGTGCCCTGTCAGTCTCATGCTTGCCTTCCAGCTTACTGCTGTTGGGTCAGGTTTTTACACAACCATCACAAGGGCTTCTTTCAAGTATCCCTGATATCTTGAGTGTCAGTATGACATAAATATATGTATTCCTGTCTATTTTGTATGAGTGCCTCATTTTGTAGTCATGAAAGTAATAAAACACTGTAGAAGAAGGTGTAATAACTAAGGCCTAGAAGGCCTGGTAGAAGCTAGGTGGAATTATACAGTTGGGATTTCAATTTTTTTATTAAATCAAACATCTTAGATACCTAGACCAATTTTATATGTATACATTAAAAATGTTCCCCTTTTTTATGTGGTCATTTGTTGCCTTCTGAGTTGATAGAACAGAACTGAATAAAGTGGATGTTAGTTATAGCCTAGTTTGGTTTTTTTGGGGGGGTTTGTGACAAGATTGTCTTAAAGTTACAGAATGAGAAGCTAGGTGTGTTGGTGTGCATCTGTAGTCCCAGCTGTTGGGCATGCCGAGGCCGCCGCGGGATGCTGTAGTCCAAGTTCAGGGTTCGGTAGCCTAGGCAACACAGAGAGAGCCTGCCTCCCAGACAAAGCAGAGGGAATGTGTACTGTTGGTCAGCATACGTAGATAACGAATAATGTTTTTAATAATGTAAGAAATAGAAGTAGTTGCACGTGGTGTCGCCCCTCCTGCTCGAGATGCGTCTGTGCTCCTTTCGGCAGCACGTATACTAAATACATCTAGAAATAAGACTGTAGAGAACACATTTATTTAGTTTTCCAGCCGCCTGAACTGTAGCCCTCCTGTACTTTCCAGCCAGTGCCCCTGCTGGCCCTAGGCAAGAGCCTCCTGTTTCCTGTGTCCTTTCCACTTAGGGGGAATGCTTCCCTGGGCTCCTTTTAGATGGAGGCTGATAAAGTCCATGAAGCAGAAACTTCGTGTGGTTGGCCATGTGTCTGTAGAAGTGGTTGAGGTCTTTTTTTCCTCCCATACCCCCCAGTGAAGAGAACCTTTTGAAATTTTTGTCATTTCTAGGTTTACAGGGCTTGGTGGGGGGGGTTCCTGAGAATTGAACTCGCAAGCGCTTACGCCGCTGAGCCATCTCCCCAGCCCTTTGACGGGTTTTCAAACTTGCAGCATTCCTGTATGATTCACCCCCTCCCCATCATGTGCATTTTAATTTTTTAGCTACAGGTGAGGAGATGATCTACGAACTGGAGATAGATAGCTTTAATCTGTGAAGGGGAAGGAAGGGTTTTGTCAAAGGAAGTTGCACAGTGAGGCTTGGAAACTGGCCACCCCTCCCGTCTGTTGCGGCTTGTTGTGCGCGGGAGCCATAGGAGAGCCAGTGAGCAGAGGCCGAGGGGAGCGCCCCCAGCCACACGCCGTACCTGCCAAGACGGTTCAGTGGGGTAACTTGGTTGTGAGGAGGAGCACACAGTGAGCAGCACCCTTGTAGAAGTGGAGGAGGATGTGGGAGGGCCAGACCAGGGCGCCTGCTGTACCCTAGCTGCCTGCTTGCTGTTCGTGAGCAACCACTGCTGCACCCCTGTCATTATTTTGCCAGCCTCCTGCAGCCTGACCCGCTGGTATGGCACTTGCCCAGATCCATGCGTGCACAGCAGGGTCACCTTGCCTTGTGTAAGCCTCTTTTAAAAATGTCTTCCTTACGTGCCTGGCTGTGCCTGAGTTACTATGTTTTTCCACTTTGCCATTTCATGTTTCTTGTCTGTCTGTCTGTCTGTCTGTCTGTCTGTCTGTCTGTCTGTCTGTCTGTCTTTTTCTTTTTTTTTAACTGGAGATCAAACTTGGGACCTTGCCCTTGCCAGGCAGGCACTTAAGCAGCTGCTTAAGGGGGCGCAGCAGTGCGTGCCCACAAAACAGCTTTGCCAGTTCACTTCTTTGCCAGTACTCCCCAGCTTTGCCAGTTCACTTCTTCCCGAGTCCTCGAGAAGCAAGACTCCCTCCTCAGGATCTCCATTTATCCTTGCATTTGTTTTCAACTTAGTCAACTCAAGTCCTTCCTGCCAGTGGCTGTGGGGCTGCTGGAGACAGAGAATCCACAAATATACCAGTGTCCATGTAAACAGCCAGTTTTTACAGACTCTTTGAAAACATGATGAATACTTGAGTACATGCAAAGTTTTACAAAAGGATACAGCCAGGGAGATAGCTCAGTAGAATAAGCACTTGCCTGGGAAGTACAAGGTCCTGAGTTCAATCCCCAGTATGGCAGTAAATAAATAAAAATAAAATTCAAAAAAGATCTTTGTCATATATAGGAACTAAACTTGAAGTGGATTAGAGTCCTAAAAGGATAGCCCAAAACCATATTTCTAGGAAAGAAAAAAAGCATTCAATCTTGGGTTAGGTGGAGATTTTTAAAGGAAAAAAAAAATGATGAATTGCCCTTGATCAGATTTGGAAAACTCTGAAAGACACAAAACAGGAAGGACATGGTGGCAGAAAATATTTACAAAACATTTCCTTTGAAGGACACACACCAATAATACAGAAAATCCAAAGTTCATTAAGCCCACCATCTGCCCGTTTTCAAAATGGGCAAAATATTGAAATGCATACTTTATTGAAGAGGATCTACAGATGGTAAATAAGGACATTGGAAATAATTCCTAGAAAGTGCAGATTAAAACCACAATGAAATAGCATTCTATCTGTTAGAAAAATGGCAGAAATGAGCACTGCTGACCTGCTGTGTGGTGAGGGTGTGGAGCAGCAAGCCAAACTCGAGTGCTGTGGGGAGGGCAGCACAGTGACTTGGGAGGGCAGCTGGGCAGTTTCCTTTGCACAGCACCTCTCGGCTTGCCGGGTGAGCAGCGTGTGCCCCGGGAGGACTGGGAGCAGGTAGGTGGCTACCTGGCTGTGCACCTGAGTGGCTCGGTGCTCCGCACCTGAGGAACACCAGTTACATGGAGCAGACACGTCTCAGAGGGGTCACTGTCAAAGACCAAAAACGTGCTGCCTGGCCTCTTCTAAATAAACTAGGAAACGGAAATCTACGGGAAGAACCGTGGGGACCAGGGGACATGGAGGAGTGGGCCATGGCGTGTTCAGTGTCTTCACGTGGTTCTCGTCGATGTGCATACGTATGTCACAACCTGGGAAACTGCATACTTTATGTATCTTACTGTAGGTTAATGCTGCAGATTGAAAGAATGTAAACTCATACCTGCTGTTTTAAAAGAACTATTTCAGGGCTACACAGATACCTCAGTGGTCTCAAGTGCAAGGACCCAGGTTCAATCCCTGAACTGCAGTGCTGGCCTAGCCCAGGTGCGCCTAGCCAGCCACCAAGACAGGGTGTGGTGGCACACACCTGTGATCCCAGCTCTGGGGACGCTGAAATAGGATCACTACGAGTCTGAGCTGTGTAGTGAGACATATACCAAATACACTAAAAAATGCAAGAACTATTTCATATTTTATTCACTCCTTCCTCACTTTTGATATTTTTATTCCTAGTTACAGGGAAGATGGAAGTAGTCCAAAGAGAACTTTCACAAGTTTACACTATCACCTCCGCTGCCCTCTGACCTGTAGCTGTGGCCATATGCTCACCACTAGCACCATGAATGTGGTGACAGGCCACCCACTTGTGCAGGCCTTGTCCCTGGTTGGACATGCATGTTTGTGCAGCTCCTACGGGCTCTACCTGCTCGGCTGCTGGGCTCTGCAGTTCTGTCGTGAGTGTGTCTCCTCTACTGGGTTGTTCCAGCGCTATGCACCTTTGCTGTGGTTGCTTCCACTGGCAGTCTTCACTTTCTCCATGGATTGCTAGGGGTCACTTCCCAGCATTCGCCTGCAGAGTTAGCTCACTCTCTTTCAGCCCCACTGCTGTTAAGGATTGCTCGTGCTAGTCCACTGAAATTGCAAAGACCTCAGGTCTCATCTTGTCTCTTCTGACACTGCTGATTTCCTCTCCGTTGAAACCATTTCCTCACCCAGTTGTTACAAAGCCCAGGGTTCAGTCTGGGACCCCACCCGGCAAGGGGCTGGGCCTCGGCCATACCGGTAACCTGCTAATCACTCAGATACACACACTCCCATCCCATTCTCCTTCCCAAGACTGCACACATGAATGGACCTTTCCCCGAGATCCCCACTTAGCTCCAAAGCACAGCCTGTGGTTTTCTCGGCTCCTGCTTGTTGCCCGTGCCGCTGCCCAAAGGCTACTCGCTAGAAGGGCATGGTTGCTGGCAGGCGGGCTTTCAGATGGTGGCTGGGTCGTGAAGGCTTTAACTTCCTCAGTGGATAATACACTGATGGGTTTGCAGCTTAACTGATTGGAGGGGCTGACGGGAGGACCAGGACCTTGGGTGGGGGACCTTGAAGGCTGTGCTCGGCCTCTGGCCTCTTCCTGAGGAGCTCTCCACTTGCTTCCTGAGGCGGGATGTGGGCAACTGCCCTCCACTCTGCACTTCCGCCGGGTGGTTTCTGCCTGACCGAGGCCTCAGAGCAGGGGAGCACACTGACCAGGGGCAGAACCTTCTAAAACTGTGAGCCCAAATAAAGCTGTACCTTAAGGTACTGTCACAGCAACAAGAGAGCTCACAGTCCCTAACCTGCTACTTCTCAAACCCCATCTCCGTGGGTAAAGCTTTGGAGCTCAGGATTCAAGTTGCTAAATGAGAAATGTTGGAAAGGCCACCGACAGCTCTTCTCAAACACTCCACGTCCAGGCGGAGACCACCCTATTCTCTGCTGTGCTCCACCCTGCTGCTGGCTTCTGGGGGACAGCCCTTTGGTCTCCCTACATTGTTGCTTTCTCCTGGGCTCCGTGCCTCTGCCCTTTTATTTGTTTTTTATTCCTTCTAACGGTGAACTGCTCTTGTTAAGACTCTCCAGGTGGAGCTGACGAGGTACCTCAGTGGTCTAAAGCACCTGCTTAGGCAAGTGCAGGGGACCTCAGTTCAATCCCTGGCACCATATGCCATGCCAAAAAAAGACCCATCAGATCACCTCAGTCCTGTCGTCCAGAGAGCCCTGTGATGGACTGCTGTCATGACATCACTGGGATGACTGTCACCATGGTGTTCAGCACCAGCAAGACTGCAGCATCCTTGGCTTACTCTCTGACCTGAATCCTGGTGTTCCCAGCCCTCAGGCTTTTGCACTCACTGCTTGCTGGGCCTCGAGTTCAGTCCGGTTTCCCCAAGCTTCTTCCTGAACTGAGGCAAATCTGAACTTAGCGCTGCTGGGTATTCTGACTAGTCTGCTACTGCGGTTTTCATTCCTTTGAACATACTGTGTGGTTTACTTATTTACATGTTCGCACATTTTTCTCACTTGAATGTAAGTTCCCGAGATTTATTTTTAGAATCTACAAGGGTCCCTGGCACATACCTGTTTCTCAGTACTGCTATCTAAAATGGTTAGAACTTGAGTCCTCTGCTTTTTGAAATTTCAGTCTCCAGAGGTAACTGCACTTCCAGCCTCTGTCTGCATGGTCACAACCAGAGAATCACAACAAAGGTGTCACCCACAGAGGTGGTTCTACCGCCTGCTGCTTAACTTTACACTGCATGCGAGTCCCCCTACCCCCTCTTCCTCCCGGTTGAATCCAGGCCCCTGCCAGGGAGTACATCCTCAGCCCTTTTGGTTTACTTTGAGACAGGGTCCTGCCACATTGCACAGGCTGGAGTCTGCCTTGTGGTGCGTATCAGCTGCCCAGAGCGCTGGCATGCACCACCACAGACATCTTTTTGTGTCAGTACATTAACTAGCTACCTTTTTGTTTTCTATCTGGGATTTTGAGGCATAATCTTGCTATGTTGCTTCGACTGGCCTTGAATTTAAGATCCTTCTGCCTCAGCCTCCTGAGAAACTGATAACATGTATGGGCCATCTGGAGTCCTTTGGGGGTTTCGCTGGCCGTTGTCCAGGCTGGTCTCCATCTTGGTTCAAATGATCCACTTGGGTACCACAACACTCACCTTTGGGGGTGGGGGAGATAGCTTAGGTGGCCGGGGAGGTAGCTCAGTAGAATAAGCGCTTGCAGGGTCCTGAGTTCAATCCCCAGTTCCACAAAAAACCAAACCACTCACCTTTAACTAATTCAAAAATTCTATCTGTGATGTCTTCAATTATGTGGATAGGCCAGCATTTTAGTTTTCTGAAAGATAGTTAACCCATTTAATAAAATACTATGGCTAACATTTTGCCCATACTGTTCGTTCTTGTGCTAGAACTTGTGTAGTATGAATTCCCATGAGACTGCCTTGTGCACAGTGCCCCCAAATGTAATTAACTCTCCTACCATCAAGGGTATGAGATTCTTTGTTCGCACCATCAACTGTATTTTTTGTTTTTAATGTATTTGATACAGGGTCTCACTACACAGCTCGGACTCGTAGTGGTCCTCCTGTCTCAGCCTCCCCAGGGCTGGGATTACAGGCGTGCGCCATGACTGCCACCACTCCCGGATTCCATCTGCCACTCAGTGTGCCCAGGGGCGGGGCCTATACAGCATAGGGTGCCAAGAATTGAACCCCAGCCCTTGCCTAACCAGGCACTTAGTCTTCTGAGCTACATCGCCGGCCCACCATCAACTTTTTTTTTTTTTTTCCCAGTATTTGTCAGTGGTACTGATTTGGACCTGTGTGTGTGCGTGCGTGTGTGCGTGCGTGTGCGTGCGTGTGTGTGTGTGTTGTGTCCGCGCACGTGCTCATCTGGTAGGTGTGTGGATCCCAAGGAAAACATTGAATTGGGCCCCATTTTCTCCAGGGTGGGCTGCTCACAGAGCCCCCCGCCGCCGGTCAGGAGACTGCGATGTGGAGCCGAGTCCCAGCCTCCCCGGATGGTGCAGGGGCTCAGGGGACCTCAGGAGCCGGCCCGGACTCCGGCCGCGGCGCCCAGCCTGCAGGCCCGGGCTTTCCCGGCTGCTGAGCCGAAGACCTCGGCCTCCCGCTCGTGGGCAAACACTGGAGTAGTCCGGCTCTGGCCGGGAAGCGCCCGCTGCAGGGACCCTTCCTGCGCGGCTGGCTTCCGAGCTGAGCTCTTGCGGAGGACCGGCTCGCACGCGCCGCGGGGGGCCGCCAGCGTCCGCAGGGCGCGGGACCCTCCGAGGGCGCGCGGGGCGCGCACTGCACGCTTCCTGCTTCCGCGTCCGCGTCCCCGCCGCTGAGCCTCGGGAAGCCAGAGCGAGAGCCGAGGGGCCGTCTGGGAACTCGCTGCCCGCCTTCGGCCGCAAAGAGTTTTGTACGTGCAAAGTCCGGCTGGCGCAGCTCCGCTTTGGCGCCGAAGGAGTTCTGAGCCACATAGCCGCGCGCGAGCCTCAGCCCAGCCCGGCGGGGCCCGCGCGCCCGGTTGCCTGGATACCGCGACGCAACAGTGGCTGCGCGGGAGAGCAGAGCGGCCGGTGTGGGCGCCTCGGCCGCTGCGGTTGCCCTCGTTCGCCCGGAGCCGGAGGAGGAGCCGGTAAGAGGCGCGTGGGCGGGACGCGGAGGGAGGAGGCCCTGCCGGCGCTCAGCACACCTCGGTCCCCCCAGGCCGTCCCCGTCCTTTGCAGCGATGCCGCTTCCCGACACCATGTTCTGCGCGCAGCAGATCCACATTCCCCCGGAGCTTCCGGACATCCTGAAACAGTTCACCAAGGCTGCCATCCGCACCCAGCCCGCCGACCTGCTGCAGTGGTCTGCGGGGTAAGCGGGGCTGAGACCTGGGCCTGAGGCTGCGTCCCTCTCTCCTGTCTGTGTGTCTGTCCAGGAACCACTGCTGTGTTTGACCGCGAGACCAGAAATCATTGCAGAAATGCTCATTGACTTACAAAGTAGTGGCAGTTCAGTTGTGCGGGTGAACTAAGGCCTGCGAAACAATTGCTTTGGGTAAAAAGTTTGTTAGAGCCGAAACCCCCAGGGAGCCATTGCAGTGGTCACCCCAAGGCCGCTAGAGTTCACAGCAAGTTAAACTCCAGTTTCCTGAGACAGAAAAGAATGTTAACAGAACATAGCACCAACGCTCTTGAAAATTTTACAGTGACGCTCTCTGTCCCATCTCAGTACGTAGACAAAGAGCCCACTTAGCGGCAAGAGTCAACCTACGCGTAACTTTGATATTTTCAGTAACTGACATCAGAGTTTGCTGACTTTCTCTGAGCTGCATAGGTAATCCGGTGTGTCAGTTTCCTTCGGCTGATGCAGCAGATGACTGCCACACTTCACAACTTGAAGCAGCGTTTATCTCCACAGTTCTGGAGGCCAAGCCTCCCGGGGCAGCTTCAGCAGGCTCAGACCAAGGCCTGCCTTCCCCAGCTTCTAGCGCTGCACTCTGCAGACTTCTCCGGTCAAGAGTCTTTCATTTCTTTCTCTGCTTCCTCCTCTTTTCAGTGTTTTTGAGGCCGGGTCTAGGCTGGCCTTGAACTCACAAGTAGCCCAGACTGCTCTGGAGCTGGAGGTGCTCCCCTGTCTGTCTCTAGAGAGTAGAATTACAGGTGTTCACCACCATGCCCAGTGTGATGCCTACCTGTTCTAACACATGTGGTTTATGGGGCTGGGGAGATGGCTCTGTGGAATAAGTGCTTCCCTGGCAAACGCAAGGGCCTGAGTTTAATTCCTAGTTCCGCCAGGGGGTGGAAAAATACATGTGGTTTACATTTTGGAGGTGTCCACATACTCCGGGATAATTTTCCCATCCAAAATAAGTAACCCACTAGGGAGACAGCTCAGCAGCACAGTGCCTGCCTGGCAAGTACAAGGTCCTGAGTTCAACTCCCTGTAAAAAACTAAAATCAGTAACCTGCAGAAAAGTTGTGACCGTGTACAGTAACACAGATCCAGAGATGAAGACTGGGATGTCAGGGAAGGAGGTTATGTAACGGAGGAGCAGAGCCGCTTGTTAGCCCACTGTCTGCCTTCTGTGACCCGCTGCCTTCAATTGCCTTTGAAAGCTTCTCTGAAGGTTCTTGCTAAAAAAAACAAAAACAGGGCCAGCAAGGTAGCTCAGTGGACTAAGCACCTGTTTAGGCAAGCTCAGGGACTGGGTTCGATACCTGGCACCACATGCCGTGCAGCCTTGACCCCGGGCCCTCTGAGCGTGACAACGAGACCCAGGCGAGGCGGCACATGCCTGTAATCCCAGCTCTGGGGAGGTTGAAAATGGGAGGATCACGACGAATCCCAAGCTGCATAGTGAGACACGGCACCAAATACATTAAAAAATAATAATAATTATGGCCTCTGGCTTTAACCATTTTTCAAGCCTAAATAAAAGATAGTAAGATCTTTATAAAAGTTGCTTTATGCTGTACTAAAAAAATCCGAAGATTTAGGTTCAGCGTTCCCTTTTAGAGTCTCAATTATATCTGGTAACACATTAGAGATGATTATGCTAAGCATCACTTTAATTTGAAAGGCGTGCTGGGAATTTTCTGAAAGCTCTGTGCTGCTAGTTTCTCTCAAGAGCAGTTTTAGGGCTTAGGAGGAACCCTAGTGGGCATCAATCACTAGGCTATGTGCTTGTGTTCCTGGCCCAGAATGTCACCCACAGAGGCAAGTTCTGGAAGAACCGCAGTTAGGGTGAACCCTCTGAGTGCAGGAACTCATGAAACCTGGCCTTGGACAGGCTTTTTAGGCAGAATGTGGCTCATGCCAGTCATGGACAAGGAATCAGCATGGTAACAAGGGACAGGGACAAGAAGAGAACCTAGGACTGGGGAGATGGCTCAGTGGTCTAAGCACCTGCCTGGTAAGCACAAGGACCCAGGTTTGATCCCAGTATGACATGCTGCGCTGGGCGCTGAAACCAGGCACACACCTGTAATTCCAGTGCTGGGAAGACTGAGGCAGGAGGATCACTATGAGTCTAAGCTGCACAGTGAGACCCTGTACCGAATAAATAAAAGATTGCAAGGTCCTGAGTTCAATTCCCAGCACAGAACAAAATAGAGACAAGACCAGAAGTGAGGGTGCAGATGTATGTCACTCTGCTGCGCACCCCCAGGCAAGCGTCCCCGCGTCCCTGCAGGTCTCTTCAAGGCAGAGCCTCAGGTGGGCTGTGTCACAGCCACGTCCGCCTTCTCCCAGCCTTCTTTGCCCCATCGAGCTGTGTACTGAGCTGTCCCTCTTACGCCATCTCACACCACCGGGCTGCGTTGGTGTCCAGCAAAGCAGTGACATGTAGTGCTCATCGGCCTCGCTTCTCAAGCAGGATGTCGGGAGGCAGGAGTGGTGCCTCACACCTCTAATCCCAGTACTGGAGAGGCTGAGACACATCTCCATGAGTTCAAGGCCAGCCTGAAGAATGAAGCAAAGCTCTGTCGCAAATTAATAAAAAAATAAAGAAGCCTTTCTAGCTAAAGCAGGATGGGTGTGGGGTTGGGGTGCAGAGGGAGGTATGTTACAGATGTTAGCCTCTCAACCTGTACCCACTAAGATACCAGCACGACCACCCATGCTCTGACCTCACCACCAAACCTATCTCCAGAAATTACCAGTGCCTTGGGAACATGGACCAAAACGGCTCCGTGAGCTCGGAGAGCCCTTTAATCTGTTCAGAAGAGTCACTTCCTGGAAGAGGTGCTCAAGCTCCCTAGCAACGCTCCCTAGCAACAGTCCCTAACAACACGCTCAGCACCATCCCAAGGCTGGCTCCCTAGGTCTTCCTCCAAGCTGCCTGGGCTTGGGATTTTCCTCAGATCACTCATAAAAGCGTAAATGGAACTCAAGTCACCTCACAAGTATGAGGGGTCAAGTTTGAGAAGTGAAAAGGCAAAGGGGACAGGATGTGACGTTGCTCTTTAGTCTGCCCACCATAGCTTTGCCTGTGTCCTCTGGGGGATGCATTTCATCCTCCAAGCTCCTCCCGCTTTTCAGCTGTTATCTGTGGTCCTGGGGGTGCCTTAGTGTCACCTTCCTAGCCATGCCACCACTTCCTATGTGGAGAGACTCACAGAGGACCCCACCATGGGCTGCTGTGGCCACCCAGGCCTTGGGGCCCCAGATTCTTGCGTGTTTATTCTTTTTGTTGTTTTTGGTCCTGGGGATCGAGCTCAGGATTTGTGCTTGCCAGGCAGTAGCTTAAGCTGCTGAGCTATCTCCTTGCTTCTCCCCAAATTCTTTCTGTGCCTCTCAGCATCTTGGGAAGGAGCACCTTAGAGGGAGAATAGCGGGCAGGGACAGGGAAGCCACTGGCCACCGTGCTCCTGGGTGGTGAGGAATGAGAACCAGAGCTGTCCCAGTAGAGCAAGGCCGAGGAAGGGGAGCTGTGCCCAGTGTCCCAAGGGCTGCCCGTGCTACAGGAACAGCGGGTGTCAGGGAGCCCACTCTCAGCCGCCACTGGGCCCTTACCCAACGAGGGAGCTCCAGGAGTGTGCAGACAGAGAAGCTGAGGCACACAGAGACAGCCGAGTCGGAGAGCTGACGGAGGAACGGAAAATGTCACTAGCATTTGGGAACGCCCCTGACTTGGGTGCCCATGTCGATCAACTTCATTTGTATCTTTTGTTACCAGGTATTTTTTAGCTTTGTCACAAGGAGATCCGCTTCCTATCAAGGACAGAGTCGAAATGCCTGTGGCAACCCAGAAAACAGACACAGGCCTGACCCAAGGACTCTTGAAGGTCCTGCACAAGCAGGTAGGAGGGGTCCTGTTGCTGTTTCTAACCCTGGGGCTGCAGCTCGCTAGGCTCACCTGCCTGCCTGATGTTGAAAGACCCCCACGTAGCTGTTCATGTGAGGTCTTAGGTGATGTGTGTGAGGTTCCACTCCTGTAATCACAGCTGCTTGAGAGGCTGAGGGAAGGAGATCCCAAGTTCAAGGCCAGCTTGGGCAACTTAGCGAGACCCTCTTTCAAAATGTAAAAGGTCTAGAGATGTGGCTCAGTGAGTGGTACAATACTCCTGATTGTGATCCCTAGTAACACACACACACACACACACACACACACACACACACACACACACACGAAACACAATTTCTTTGAAATACAAGATTGAGATGAGGCTGATTCTGCTGAACTGAAAAATATACAGCAAAAACCATAACAGGAAACTCTGAAAGTGAAGTGCTTCGGCATGGGCCGCAGGCCATTCTGAGGTCGGGAGTGTCCCTTGATGTGTGTTGTGAGGGGAGTGAAGGGCAGAGCTGGGGACACAAGCTGCATCTTGCTGTGGTTCCTCACACGCTACTCACCGGGAGCCGCTGACCGCTTGTTGGCCGCTTGTTGTCATGGGCTGCTGGAATCAGTGCAAGGCACGCCCTGGCTCTCAGCTCGAAGATTTCTTCTGGGGCCCGGGGACAGAGCTGATGGCACAGCGCCTGCCTGGCAAATGCAAGGTCCTGAGTCTGATCTCCAGTGCTCCCACCCCGCTCAGCCCCCACACTGCTGGGTAACTATTACCGTGTTTAAGGGGCTAGATTTTTATTCCATGTCATTTACTTCTGTGGTACTGGGGTGCAAATCCAATGCCTCTGCACTGAGCTCCATCCCCAGTCCTTTTCAGAATTGTTTGTTTTGGGGCAAGCTCTGGCTAAATTACTCAGTTGCCCAGGCTGGACTCAAAGTCGTGAACCTTCTGACTCAGCCTCCTAGAGTGCTGGGATTACTGGTGGCCCGGACCACCAGTCACTGCTAGTACTGGGTCTTTGAACGCTTTTTACTTACTGAATGTTTGTGTGTGTGTGTGACCCCCATCCTCTTTAAGACTTAACCTGTGTCTGCCACCTTGCTGGCTGCCTCGCCCCAGGCTGCCACAGAGGTGGCATCCACCCCCTGCATTTGGGAGGCATCCCAGCCCCCCTGCCCCCATTGACAGTGTCGTATGTCCCCACACAGTGCAGCCACAAGCCCGAAGTGACCATCAAGGACCTGGAACATAAGTGGCGGACACTGTGCCTGCCCATGGACAGGCTGCACGCACTGCTGCAGCTGGACCCCTGCGGAGACAGCATTGAGTGGATCAAGTTCCTGGCCCTGGGCTGCAGCATGCTGGGCGGGGTACGTACCTGGTGTGGTGTGCTCATGTCCTGTCCACATGGGTTCCTGCTGGGGGTTGTGCTGGTGCATACCTGTAATCCCAGAACTCAAGAGGCTGAGGCAGGAGAATCGCCTTGAGTTCAAGACCAGCATGGGGCTACAAAGTGAGCTCAAGGCCAGCCTGAACTGCATAGTAAGACTCTCTCAAAAAAAAAAAAAAAAAAAAAAAAAAAAAAACCCTGAAACCATGTTACCTGAGTAATTCTGACTTGGAAAAATATGTTTTCCCCTAGAGGTCTATAATATGTTCCAGTTTATAGTATTTTTAAATTTACAAACACCTCAATATCATAAGAATGATTTGATTTATTTTATTTATTTATTTATTTTTGCCATAATTTTATTGATAAACAAATATCAATGAGACAGTTTCAAAGCAAATCGGTAGGACAGTTTCAATAA